CATTTCTTAATTTTGAACAAGGTTGTGTTAATGATTTAAAACTAGGCTATTGAGGGGTAAGTATTTAGAGCACCAGGCCATGAAATTAGTATCTCCTGGGGGCGAACATTATTTAAGCCTGCAGGAGAGATTTCTGCTTGGTTTACAGAAGGTCAAAAGTCTTCCAGAATAAACAACCAGGGATGCTGTGAAAACTGAATCAGGAAGAGGCCAGCATTCCACAACTGACCTTATCTTGTGTTTTATGACCCTAAGAATTCTAGATGCCAGGACAAGCTTTGCGCCTTTTCTTGTTAAAACAAAGAAGCAAATGACCCCAGATGTTTGCAGTAAATAAGGGGAAGCCCTAGCAGTGTCAGAGATGGCTTTTGGTTGGAGGACCGAGGGCCAGCCCTTTTTGAATGGATTAGATACAAGAGGATAAAGCTTTCTAAATAGAAGAAAAAGATCAGATTTTGCCCTTGCAACTCTCCAAAGATGTCTTGTACGTCTTTGCTTTCTTTCCTCCTATGTCAGGTAATGGAATGTATGTCTCTGTTGTTCTGCAGTTTCTGGTGTAGGTTTGTGCATTGTCTTATTTCTAAGTTTATGCATTGTCTTATATTGGATTAAACTCTGTAATTCTGTGATGTCAACACGCCTTGCTGATTTTCATATTACCACACGCAGCTCGCCGGGTGGACCTGGAAGGGAAGAAAATGAAAAGCCAACCTTTTTCCAAAGTTAACTATGTTAGAATATTTTCTTCCTTTACACTATCAAGTCAAACAGGTCCAGCCTTCTCCAGCTTTCACCGCTCGTACAATCTGTGGACTATTAACCGTTACAGTTGGCACACAAAGGAGGCAAATAATGGATACAGAACTTCTCACTACTGTTCTGTAGTGCTAATAAAATTTCAGATTTGTAGTCCCCACTCTGCAGAGATATTGGAATCTATGCTTAAATGTAAGCCAAACCCATTTGCACTGAGGCAGCTTAAACTTTTCAATAAACCAAACATTATCCTCCACATATCTGACTCACTAACCATTTAAAATAACAATTTTATTTAATTTCAGATGTAACTATTCACATACTTGTATTATATTAAACTCAGCGTCATGCTATGATGTAAGCGGACGACAAATATGGCCTTTGGAGGTCACAGCCACTGAATTGAAACTCAGCATATATATATATATTCTCTTGCTCCTGTTCCTTTACCTTTAACGGCGCCAATAGGGGAAACTCTCTTTGGTTAGAAAAGGAGCTCCAGACTGCTGTGTCACACAACTTTTAGATTTTTCAGACCTTCTTACATAAAAGAAACATCATATGGATGATGCTAGTCAAATCCAAAATTACAATTCAAATTACACAAATGTAGTTTCTGTAAATTGCATCTATCAAATTACAAGCATCCCTTGTTTAGTTCTCACTAAGTAAAATTTTTTCCAGCAGCAATTTTTTGTAGAGCAGCTCCCTGTACTCATCTTTTAGTCTCTGATACACCCGATGGCTGCAGTCATTCGAAAAGTAAAAGCGAAATGTGTGTGCAGTTAATAGATAATAAAAGAAAAGAAGAGAACTTGGCTCAGACTTAAATTAATATTCTTACAATTTAGGGTGGCAGAGAATTGGAACTTCCCAAAACTGATTTGAATTTAACTATTTGATCCATGCCCAGTGGCAATGGGGATTTCCTGTATACTCTAGTTTTCAGTAAAATACCTCTTCAGAGGCCTCTAAAACATTCAGGTAAAACATAAAATATTTACCACACAGCTGTATTTTGGAGTGCAGTAAGAGGTAATGCATAAGTTGCCCCTGTGGTCTGAAAGCAAAAGGTATGAGATCCTTCTCTTTAAAGTGTGAAACTTTTGTCAGGTACCTGCAAGATTTCTTTCAGAGGCACACATCTCCCCATTCAGTGTAGAGATGAACGGTTTGAATAACTGTGAATCTGGGATTGTGTGCCTTCCAGGTTGGAGTGATTGCTGTGGTGAAACTAAAATGTAGTGTAAGAAGGTATGCACTCTAAATTATATTCAGATGAAGCAGACAATGCTTTGGGATCATCTCTTTCATTCCAGTGATTCGGTCTGACAGTGAGTCGATAAAAACAACAATTCAACTATTGATTTGTAAAGTATTGTTTTTTTTACTGTTGTGAACAGGTTGTTGTTGTTTGTATCAAATTTAAGTTTACTCTAAAATAAATATAAATACAACATTAAAGTTAAGAAAAAGCTGTACAAAAACCTAAAAACCAAATTGAGGTATGATGTTCAGAAAGTTGCACGTTTAAATATTATGTTGTTGCTGGTATTGGATGTAGAAAATGCTGAAAGTGCTTACTTGAACATGCTAAAACAAACTCATAAAAAATGTTTTTACTCCACTGACTGAGCTCTTTTTCTGACCCAGTTGGACGACCCGGAGGGGCTACAAATCCTGATTAATGCTTCAATGTTGTCTCCAAGTGTCAGCACCGGCCATTAGACTGTTTATGCACTGCACTTTATTGATCTATATTAATAGCAGTGTAATTGTCTTAAATTAATTGAACATGTGTTGGATTTGTAAAGCAGTATGTCAGCACTCGAGTTAGCTTGATATATAGGGCACAGTTTCTTTTTTTTTCTACCTTAGATAGTCTTGCTTGCTTAACAAATTAAATGAAACCTGAGTCAGCCTAAAGAAACATCTATGATTTGCTTGTATCAGCGGTTTCATTTCTCACAACCTCCAATTGCTGTAAAATCATTGTTAAAACTTTAGCTCAATTCATCAGGCCTGCTCACAAACAAGTGTCAAGAGAGACCATTATTTCAAGACTAAATACATTTGGCTCATCATGTTGTCATGCCTGAGCTAGCTTCAGAGGCCTTTAGAGATTTTCTTTTCTCTCTGAGCATAAAAAAAATAATAAACAGCCAAGGAATTTACTCTCTATTCATCACAGTCTTCTTCTTTCTACCAGTCCCTGAGATGAGCCCATACAGTGAATTTAAAATGTTTTGGAGTCTGTAGAGAATCACTGCAGGTTATGCAACATCACATTAATTCAGAGTGTCTCGCAATGCCTGAAGAGTCTGTAAATAATGCATTGCTGTCTGTGAGAAAGCATTCTCCCTTCATCACCAGCCCCGATCCCACAGTGAGGTTCTGACAGGAAGCCTTCATGTTGTTGCACTCAACAACACTTGCCTTCACTTTGTGTCATTTCACTGTCAGTATGCTTTAAATGGATTGAGGGTAAAAAGGGGCTTTAGTGCAACAGCAGGAGAAATGTCTGTAATAGGTTGAGTTTGTCAGTATATCTGGATTTATGCAGAATTAGAAGGAAAGTGTTATTTCTATCAGTGTTAGATTGGTATTTATTCGGGTTTTGATTATGTGATGTAGGGGTCTTCCTGTTTATTTCTTTAGAGGTACAGTAAACACTAAGAAACGCCAACAATGTTGTTGCTTGATGAAGAGGTAGTAAAGGAACACCTGTGTAGTTCTTCCATTTTGGACTTCTTTTTCAGTTTCTTTTTAAGCTTTCAGTTAATTATGCCATTGTTTTTTTTTTTTGGTCATTTTTTTCTTTTGCATTTTGTGTTGTATTTATGCAGTGTTGCAGTTTTTGAGTTGCCCTCTGTTGCCCCCTTGGGCCTCCTTTCCCTGGGCTGCCCTCTAGTTCCTCCTTTCCACACCTGCTCCACATCAGCTTATCAGCCCACTTTTTTCTGTCCCACCTATATATATATATATATATATATATATATATATATATATATATATATATATATATATATATATATATATATATATATATATATATATATATATATATATATAACTTCATTCTGCATTTGGGTCCTCAATTAGCACCCACCAAGCCTGACCACACCGTGGTTAAAAAAAAAAAAAAAAAGAGAGAAACTTTTATCTGCTTTTAAGAACCTATACAATTCACGATAAATCTGTCTTACACAGTTGTTCTTACACAGAAAAGCAATTTATAACAGCTTAACACAATAGGAAATGGAACATTTTCAAGGTTTCTAAAAATGTTTAAAACCATAGGATTCTTTAGCTTGTTAATCCCGTTTTATTGACTAGCCTTTCATATATTCTTGTGGATTGCCTGATTGTATTGCTGGCACAGCCGTCAGATGTTTTCCTGTATCCATGAATGTTCTGTGAAAGGAACTTATGAATACTGAAACAAACTTCGATGACATCTAATCCACATTGAATTAGGCTTTTTCGATTGGTTGCATATTGAAGGTTATTGTTGTAGCTGGTTTCGATTGTAGCATAACACACAAGTCGTGTGGTACTTGAGAAGCTAACTTCAAACATGACTTTAAATATTCATAAATTCAAATTTTATACATTTTGAACAATTCAAAATGGGTCTCATGAAACACAAACTCTCTTGTTTTATTCATTTTCATTTTTCATTTCATTTCATTTAAATCTAAAACAACTGGAAATTGGTATTTTGTGGTTAATTGCACATAACATTGTTATCGATCAAAGCAAAAGAGAGAAGCAGAGTAACACATATAAGCAATATGTCTATTTGTAAATATTTCCGCTTTGGCTGATTACATAGTGTTCTAATAAATCCATAGTATCTACCAATACTACAAAGATTGTGGCTGAAGTCATATTTAATTTGGAAAAAATAAAAAATAAAAAGAAGAAGAAAAACAAGTTGGCTTAGCCCCAGGCTTCAAATACTTCCAGACTTTTGGAAATTAATTTGGACATAAATAAAAGTACTAATGTTTCCTGGCATATTATTGACAAAATCTATAAGAGAATAATCTCAAAGAGCTTTATTGGCTGTAATTTGTGCATTCAAGAAATTTTACTTTGTTTGTCTTTCAATAAATATGTTTTGAATATGAAATAAAAATATAAAAAGCTAACCATATTTAAGTTCTTTCAGTATTTATCAATGAATGCAATGTTTTTACAAAAAAAGGGAACACCAGCTTCTGGGCAAATAAGCAGCATACCTTGGTTGGAGCTGTTGGAAGAGAACCGGTCCGTTTTTTTGAGAGTACGAAAATGAACTTTCTTGCTGGCTTGGCTTTCCCCATATAGCCCAATGGACTGGACCTGGATGATGTAATCAGTTTCCTCCTCCAGGTCCCAAAGAACACAAGAGCGACTGGTAGTATTGACCTCACGAATGAAACGCTGCATGTGTCCATCCTGCCTCTGGTAGTCGGAAAAAAAAAAAAAACAGAGAGCAACATAATAGATTAAACTATTAAGCAATTCCGGTAATTATCCATTCTGAGGGAAGTTAGCTGATTAGGGTGACCAGAGAGATTTGCAGAATGAGACTCTTGGAGATGCATTGTCTTCTCTTGGAAGTGTCTTAACTTTGCTTCATTAAATTTGATCTTAAAATCAATATAGTGCCATGCTGAAAAGGCAGAAAAGGCTTTGATCCTTTCTCAGAATGCATGCCAATATGAAGCAGAGCTGACGAACCAAAAATACTGTTGAGAACAACACATAGAGCCCTCTCAGTGTTTTACTCTCAGGTTCTGTACATCAAAGCCTTTGGAGTCAAACTTGGTATAACTGTAGACCACAGGCCTTTTATAAGAAAATCTTTCAAAAGATCAGACTGTGAAATTTTTTTCATTTTCTTTTTTATTTCTCCCAAGTAGAGCTTTTTCTTGTCTTTGGGCCACATCGATTGCTTTAAAAAAAGATTCACATACAGAAATAATTAATAATGCATGCTTAAACTCTTATGTTAACTTTAGGGAATTATAGGGAGTATACAAACTCAGCTGCCAACTGGTGATGTAGTACCCTGAGGAGACAGACTATTCAGTCACGCTCAAAGGAAGAGTAAGTGAAATCATTATGTTCAGAGTTGCATAGAGCATAAAAATGATTACAGAAGAGCCTGTTCCGTTGCATCAGTCAGAGGCAAGAGTCATCATTTTTTTACAGTTTTAAGCCTTTAGATATCTTTATATTTAAAATATAAAGTTAATCATCCTAACCACTGTACTTTTATTCTCCAAATCTGACTTTTATGGAATAACTTTCCTCATGTCCTTATATATTTTTTAAACTTTACACTTCAGTAAGGCTTAAGGAGGTATTTCTTTAATAAAACAATATGAACAATAATGAGTTTTCAGTTAACGTGACCTTCATAACAAATGGTTAAGTTGTGCAATCTTTATGGTATATAAAGGTATAAACAGGATGTATATCTTGATTTAAAAATCCCTGCACTAGTGTCTGACAAATAGGATTTATACGTCTTGAACTTTTTGCCGTGTGTTACATTTAAACCACAAATATTTATGGTTTCATTGAATTGTATTTGCTACACAAATACAAGGTATTAAATATTTATCAGAGTGAGGAAGCTGATACTTGGTTTTAAAAAATTTTTCAACAGCCAAATCTAAGTTTGGCTGCAGTTAAAGTTGCAAGTGATTATTTAGGATACATCAAATAGGTTTGATCTCTGTATATTTGTCCACTCATTGTATATGTCTATGCTGTTTTGTACTGAATGTTTCTAGAACTGAAGAAACAGATGTGGGATGTGCAGAGAAATGTTGCTTTGGAAGGCAGAGTACTAATGAAGCGTGCAATATGTTTACAATTCTCAGATTATTTACAGTAGCTCACATTTAGAATAGTCTTTGCAGGGCAGGACTAGTAGTTCAAATAGGGAACTTTTATTCTGGAAAGGCTGCACATTTGCTTGTTTAAATCAAACAGACACCTACCCTGGCATACACCAAGGGATGGGTTAGATGCAGAGCACACAGTTTATTGGAGATGGTTTGATTATTATAACAGAGGTAAAGAGCATATTGGTAAACAAACAAGAAGCTGTGATATGTAGACTGGAGCATATTAATGAAGTAAAATAGCAGCAGGTAGTTCAATTCATTTAATGTATTTAATCCTGTGTACTACTTAAACAACGCCCATCTCCTCTTTCTATTCTAGATATATTTTTATTATTTCATTCCCTATTAAAATACACCAAAAACGCTTCGCTGGCTCTGTGAGAGGTGATGTAGAGCAACTTATGACCAGAGATGGCAAAAGTACTCGCTTTCCGTACTTGAGTAAAAGTACAGATACGTGTGTTAAAAAATACTCTGGTAAAAGTGGAAGTACTGATTAAACTTATTTACTCAAGTAAAAGTAACAAAGTACAGGCTTGTAAATTTACTTAAAGTATAAAAGTAAAAGTAGAAACCACTTTTTTCATGCCGTTGCCTACATTTTAAATGGATGTCTGCCAATAGGACTAGATCTCCGTTGTGTTAATTTTCAATCATCTCGTTAGGGGGGCCACATGCCGAAGGCATGGCCCACCTATTACTATTGCACATATTTATTCTGCGTATTATTAGGGGGGCCACATGCCGAAGGCATGGCCCACCTACTACTATCTCACATATTTATTCCGCGTATTATTATAGCTTATTAGGGGGGCCACATGCCGAAGGCATGGCCCACCTATTACTATTGCACATATTTATTCTGCGTATTATTATTATTAGGGGGGCCACATGCCGAAGGCATGGCCCACCTACTACTATCTCACATATTTATTCCGCGTATTATTAGGGGGGCCACATGCCGAAGGCATGGCCCACCTACTACTATGTCACATATTTATTCCGCGTATTATTAGGGGGGCCACATGCCGAAGGCATGGCCCACCTACTACTATCTCACATATTTATTCCGCGTATTATTAGGGGGGCCACATGCCGAAGGCATGG